TGTGGCTCCTCTGCTGCACTCTCTCGCTCCAATAGAAGCCCCCCAAAATGATCTGAGCGATGAGAGTTATGCAGGGTTGTAGCTGATTCGACTGCATGCGGGCGCTAGCTGTTTGGACCAAGCTCCGCCAAGCTCCGCCTCTTTGCCTGTTAGGTCGACCAAAGTTTGGTTGAGACATCATTTCCATTGTTGAGACCAACGGCATTCAAAACCTCGCTTCAGAAACAAATAGGTGACGTCAATAAGGTGAGGTCGTTTTCACATCATAGCGGGCCTGAGCCAGTTGCTCCCCTCCCCCCTCCCCCGCTGGTCTGTGTTCACTTCAGTAACATCGCTCCGTACCCTCGTGTATATAACACAGTCTGATTCAGCAGTTGGTGGTACGCACATGGTTTGCAAATTCGTCAAGAAGAAGAAAGAAAGAAGAAGAAGACACCATGGCAACCACTCGCAGGCTGGGTGACATTCATCTCAAGAGAAATAAAAAAAAGTCCAGAGGTCGGGTATTCAGCTCGTGGCTCTGCTCTCACTGTGCGAGTGTGTGCAGTCAAATGAGCAGAAACTCACAGGAGCAGTCGGGAGCAGCTGATCGGGCCGTGATCGCCCGTCGGGCTTCGGGGTATTCCGCACATCGCTGACATTCAGCCTGACTTCAAGATCGGTCGTACGACTCAGAAATCTGTCTCTAAATCGGACTGAAATCATACAGTGCAAGTCCAGCTTTAGGTGGAGTGATACACGTCGTGAAAAGTGATGTCGTTCTCCGACATCAGCACCAGTGGGATGCCTCTTGTCCAATCAGATCACTCGGCAGGAACTTTCTCTTGTTTAATAAGGAGTAAAAACCCAGTAGGACACGTTGTCTTTTCATCTTCTCTTTGAGGGTGAACATATTTGGATCAAAGAGAGAAAACAGATTCTGATTTAAGGAGAGGTCACCAGTGTTTCAGTTATTATTCCTGATTTATTTGAAAGGTCATTGGATATGTGAAACAGCAGTGTGTGTGTTTGAACAGGATGATCTCTGCTCCTCAGCGTAACAGGATCCTCAGCGTGATTCTTCATATGTTTATTGATGTGAAGCTTTCACTGTACGGCGACCTTTTGTCTGACCTCTCGAAGAAAAGCTTATGATCTCAATATGGCTCTCACCTTGTTAAACAAAGGTTAAGACCTTTTTTTGCTGAATGATGTTTTTGTTTTTCCTGGAGGTTAGTCAGATTCTGTAGCCGTGCAGGTCACGCCTCTCCTCCCTTCCTGCTCTGCACATTTCTTTCCTCTCTCGTCGGACACTTCCACACCGACCTCCTCTCCATTTGCTCATCTCTCCGCTCATCATCGCCGAGCAGCAGTGAGCTCAACACATCTGTCAGCAGCTCCGCTCCGTGTCATCCTCCTCCCTGCTTCTCTTCATCTTTTCCTCCCCTGTCTGTCCTCCACATCTTCCTCCCTCGTAGGCGATCACATTCACGAGAGAGAAGCTGGACGACACAAAAAGCAGGAAGAGGCTAATCACAGAGATAAGAAAGAATGCGAGCTGGAAGTCGAGGATGGAAACAACCTGATAAAGCCTCATGTTGCCTTGTAAAGAATCTTTTATCAGGTCTTCTCTTATGAGAAAACCTAGAGTGTATTATGTCTTTCACAGCTTCAACACTTCACACCACCTCTGCTCTTTCTTTAGTACAAGTGAAGCTTTCCAGACGCAGAGGAATCCAAGACGTCCAGGACTGCAGGACTTCCCAGAGACTGACTGCTGCTCTGATTTAAGCATGAAGGAGACACACCGGGCCCAGGTGTGTCTCGTCTCCTGATTGTCTGCTAATCAGGAGCCGTTTAATGGAAGCCTTCTAAGTATTAAAAGTCGCTCCTAGTCACAAAAAATCTAAGAACATTTTCAGAATCATTTCCCCTTACAGTCAGGACTAGATCCGTGTAAAGATGAAAGTTATTCATAAAGTGTTTTAACTCTTAAGAGAGCTCCTGAGGTGTCGAACTGTGAGGAGGAGTGAGGAGGACTATTAACAGGATGAAGAGTTTCTGAAGCTGAGGAGGAAACAGAGAAATGTTCTCCAAACACGACATGAAGAAGAATCTTTTTGAATCGTAGTCGAGCCGAACAGACAAAAAGGATTTGTGCAGACATTTCTATCCCTCTCTGACTTTATTCTGAGCTGCCAGCTAAAAACAAAAAAACCAAAAGAAGATGCAGAACACCATTTTGTAGTTGTTTAACTCGTTGTAGTTCCTTGTTGTCCTGTTCCTCCCCTCTCCTCCCTTCATCCTTTCAGCAGTGTTTTCTGTCATCGTCTCCCTCTCCTCAATGAGTCACAGAGATGCAGAGCCTTCACACCCTGCATCTGCACGCACGTCTCGTCCATCTGTCATCTCTGCAGACAGACACGCTGACAGATTAAACGCCGGGCTGCAGCGCTCCCGATTAAAGGTCTACAACCAGAGGACCCTCACTCAGAGACGGTCTGATCAGTGAGCTGTCGTCCTGGAGAGGAACAGCAGACACGGGGAAAAGAACAAGAGAACTACATTTATAGTTACAAGCTGCTTTAGGTTGGGCTGCATGATGGTGCCTCACAGTGAGGAGGTTCCTGGTTTGAATCCCCGTCTGACGGGAGCCTCTCTGTGAGGAGGTTCCTGGTTTGAATCCCCGTCCTTCAGGAGTCTCTCTGTGAGGAGGTTCCTGGTTTGAATCCCCGTCCTTCAGGAGTCTCTCTGTGAGGAGGTTCCTGGTTTGAATCCCCGTCTGACGGGAGTCTCTCTGTGAGGAGGTTCCTGGTTTGAATCTCCGTCTGACGGGAGTCTCTCTGTGAGGAGGTTCCTGGTTTGAATCCCCGTCCTTCAGGAGTCTCTCTGTGAGGAGGTTCCTGGTTTGAATCCCCGTCTGACGGGAGTCTCTCTGTGAGGAGGTTCCTGGTTTGAATCTCCGTCTGACGGGAGTCTCTCTGTGAGGAGGTTCCTGGTTTGAATCCCCGTCCTTCAGGAGTCTCTCTGTGAGGAGGTTCCTGGTTTGAATCCCCGTCCTTCAGGAGTCTCTCTGTGAGGAGTCTGCATGTTCTCCTTGTTCATGTGTGGGTTCTCTCCAGCTTCCTCTCACAGTCCAAAGACATGCTCGTTAGGTTAACTGCTGACTCTAAATTGCCCGTAGGTGTGAATGTGAGTGTGGCTTGTTGTCTGTCTCTATATGTCAGCTCTGTGATTGGCTGGTGAACAGTCCAGGGTGTAGCCCCGCCCCTTAGCCAATGACCGCTGGGATCGGCTTCAGCACCCCCGAACATGAATAGCGGTACAGATAATGGATAAGTGTTGAAAACAAAGACAATAATGGACAGATTTGAATATCTTTAATGGCACCAATAAAATGATTACAAAGGGAGACGACGAGGATCGAGCCTCGATGACAAACAGACTGTACAAGATTGTCGATACAAAGGATATCGATACGGTTTCGTATATTCCATTGGCACGTATAAATACAGTATCTTACAATGACATGAACACGGTCTCTGCTACATAGCTTAGTTTACGACTATAAGACAATCCACTCATGCAGTATAATGCCCAATTATATGAAGAGAAAACAAGGAAATAAATTAGAAACTCAGGCGGGACCGTTTAGCTTTGACTCTGTTTCCGTTGTTGTTGTTGTCGATGTGTTTGTTAGATCTACCGTACGGTCCAAAGGATTCTCACCACATGATCTACAAAGTGATGACATCATCAATAGACTTCTTATTCAACAAAAAGTGTTGTAACTAAGCTCAGCCGTCATCACCTCTTTGTTCATTCAAACTGACTCTGTGATGGTGTAATGTGTCTCAGTCTGTGAGTTCATGTTGAGTTTCGACAAGCAGCACGGCACAGCAGGAGGTCCACATACACACACAGTCAGACATACACGCACGCACGCACGCACGCACGCACGCACGCACGCACGCACGCACGCACGCACGCACACACGCACACACACACACAGCGCTGCGCTGCGCTCCCCGGCTGGCTCAGCTGATCCCGTCTCTCGATGGCGATCCTCCGCTGGTCTTCAGAGGTATGTTGTGGATGTGTGCTGACATTCCCAAGAAAATATTTTGAACCCAACTGTAAATGCATTTACAGTTTATTTAAAAAGTCATCTCATAAATCTGCAGAAACGTTACAAATATCGTTGAATGGATACAAAACATTAGAATGAGTGAACGTAGCCGGAGCAGCTGAGCGGGTACTGTGATAGAATGTGCAGAATATACCGCTGTGATAAAAATACTGATGCAAAGAGATAATTCCCTCTGCTTTTCAACAAGGGCGGTGCGCAGACCAGAGCACGTGCAGCTCCAGAATATGTGAGGTCATATCGAGCGGCGCTTTAAGAAGAACACTTGAGGACTTTAGGTCTCATCCTTAAGTTCGTGTTAAACCCTCTAAATCTCACAACGGATGAAGCAGAGTCTGTGACATATCCGATGATCCGAGTGTGATCCACAAAGTCTGGAAGCAATTCTTGGAAGGCAGCCGTCTACACTGAGGCGTTGCTCATCATCCGTTAGCATTGTAGGCTAAAAAAACAGCTGATTACATGACATGAGGAGGATGTATACATGGCATCCCTCTCTTCTTCAGTCAGAGAACTTTAAACAAAGCCACAAAGGCGACCAGGTGAAGCAGTGAGCGCCTGCTGTCTTCATCAGTCAGTAGACGCTCTTAAAGAGAAGCGCTGTGGTTGTAGCAGACATCACCCTCGAGCTGCTGCCCAAACCGCGCTGCACGCCGTCTCTACTCACTTTGACAACAGCTCTGTTTCCCCACAGCACCCAGTTAGCAGCTGGACATTTATCAGGACGGCTGTCGGCCCTGCAGAGGCGAACACCAGCAGCCTTCATCCTCACATCCCACAGTGAAGAGTGTTTGATTTGTGTCTCTTATGGCTCAGATATACTCTGATATTAAGCTATGAAGTTACACACGTTATTCTTTGAAGATTACCAGTTTGAAGTAGCATGCTAAATGCTATACAATCGTGTTGCACTATTTACAGGAGGACTGTTGGAGCCTTGAGGTGGCGGTGAGTCTGAGTGGAGGTCGTGGTTGTGTGTTTAAAGAACAGAGATGGATGACGTGTTGGGTTACCTCGAGGCTGGATTTAAGAATCCATAGAAAAGATTTGACATAAAAAAAAGGAATAAAATATATTTAAGGTTATTTTCTCATAGATTACACTGGATTCACCTCCAGCTTGGCTAAAAATAAGGATTTCTTTTCTTTACATTCTTCATTTATGTGTCTTGAATGAGTTCTGGTTAGCACGTTATCACGGGCTGCAGCAGAAAGAGGACGGGCTGTGCGGTCCAAAGTTTCTGTTTGAATCTGCATCGTCTCTTGAATGTCTTTCCTTGTTTTTTTTGTTCAGTTTGGACTGTTGAGTCTCCACACACAGGAACATGTTCATGATAGAGCTGAAACATCACAGCTTGGAGCTAGCCTCGCTGCTAGCTCGCTGCTAGCCTCGCTGCTAGCCTCGCTGCTAGCACTGGTAGTGAATGTGCTGGTGCTGGTGCACTTTCCCGTCCACATGCGAGTGCGTGTGTGTGTGTATATCCGTGTAAATCTTGGGGTAGACTTTGGGGGCCAATCCAGTGCCGCCCTGAGCGAGTAGCAGCTGCTGATGGGCGATGTAGTCCTCGTACGAAAGACAATCTTTATCCCCGCTGGCCGGCTGTTGAGGCACCGCGGAGCAAGCACGCTCACGATTGGCCGCGGGCAGACGCTGGGCGGCAGGAAGAGCCGAGGAGGTCGAAGAAGTTGAAGAGGTAGAGGAAGAAGAGGAAGAGCAGGTGCGTTTTGATTGGCAGAACCAGAGGAGGGCGGTGCCTAAGATGAAGGCGACTCCTGCCGGTATTCCTATGATGACGGGCCAGGGGAGGCTCGGGGAGGTCGCCGCGGGGATAGAGTTGCTTTGGGGCTTCAGATCTGCGTTGAAGTGAAAAAAAACCTCATTAACCAGTGAACCAGAGAGACACTCAAACACCACTCAGAGTTCTTCATGTGCGTCTTCTTCTCACCTGGTAACACAGTAAGGTAGGCACTCCTGAAGCTGTAGCCCATCGTGTTGGCTCCCAGGCAGATGTACATGCCGGCGTCCTCCTCCTTGGCGCGCGTTATCAGCAACTTGTTGAGGTAGGATCCATCGGGGCGTGACCAAACCTCCCCTGTAGGCAGGACCACAAAGCGGTGGTCTCCAACCTTTAACAAGAATCAAACAGAGTACCTCGTTAGGGTCAACCCCGTCATGTGTTTACACGTTCAAAAACGTACACGCTCATACCTCTATGGTCGAGTTGAATTTGTTCTCGTCTCCGGCTTCGACTCTCTTCAGCCACTGAATGACCGGCTTGACGTCGCTGCGGACTTTACACTGGAAGGACGTGGTTCCCCCGTAGTCCACGGTGGTGTTGACAGGGTGAGTCCCGGTCAGAATGGGTTTAGAGTTTGTACGCTCTGAAGACGGACAAATGGAAGAAGAGTGTATTTAAGAAGTGTGCACAGAAGAAATACTTTCAGAGTATTTGAACGACATGTTGTTTTGTGCTTTAGAGGAAAGCCCAGGGAGGACCGAGCTCTGCTCTTTTGATTCGCTGTTTGTTCAAATGTACCCGAGGGAATCAAGCGTGTTGTCTTAAAGCATTATGTGCACAGAATCTGCTGCATTCAAACACCACATCCTCCCTGTGTGCTTAAACACACACACAGATCCCCAACCTGCAGCTCCCGCCTCCTCCGTCTCAGTTTATACAGCAGAATAAACACACCTGCACCACACTTTCAATGCTCTCTTCTTTTTCTATTGTAGTCCCATCGCACGACAACTTAACTACATAAAAACCTTCTGCAGCTGATTTTAAAGGCATCTTCTGTTTTGGCTTTTTTACAGGATGGATTTGTGAAGTTTACCCGACTCTCAGGGAGGCTGAGGTGGAAAGTTTAACGTGCATATTTTGTAGCTTTCAAAGCATCTGTCGAAGTAAATATATGTTGCACACAGGTTGATATCAGAGTTCAGGGTGCTGTTAGATAGTGTGCATCATAAAGTCTGTCCTGTGTAAATGTGTCTCTGAGTCCTGACTGTCTACAATGAGGGAGAAGCTCGAGTCCCGCTGGCTGTGTTGTTGTCAGAGCCGTGTTTACATGGACGGGACGGCCGGCTCCTCCCCTTGTGTATAAAAGCTGTTTTAGTCAAGAACTAGAGAGAAGATGTGCATGTGTGAACAAACACATCAGGAGGATTTCAGGAGCAGTCCTCCTGAAAGTCTCGAGATATTTTCAGGACGGTGAATGACAGCTGAGTGAATCACTGCTGATAGAGAAAATGTCACATTTGACATAAGCTAGCAGCTGTGGTATGTGTGTGTGTGTGTGTGTGTGTGTGTGTCTTTCAGGAAGGACCACAGCTGTACTTTAATGTACAACAGATGTGTAGAGTAAAATGAGAGGAGCTCGTCTACAGCTCTCAACAGAGATATCACATTCAGTTACAACACACACACACACACACACACACACACACAGACACAGACACACACACACACACACACACACACACACACACACACACACACTTCTCTGAGGGCGTGCACTTACGTATGACCTCCACTTTGTACGTGGCGTTGATCTCTCCGGCGCGGTTGGAGACGTGGCAGGTGTACTTCCCGCTGTGCTCTGGCGTCAGGTTCTTCAGACTCAGAGTCCACCTCTTCTTCTTCCCTTCCCCGTCTCCTCTTCCTGCCGCTCCGGCGTCCTCGTCCACCAGCGGCCGACTGTCCTTCAGCCAGACAATGTCGGGGCGAGGGTTACCGCTCGCCGTGCACTTCAGGCGCACCGAGCTGCCCACCGGGCGAGCGATGACGCGCTTCCTCATCTTTGATGGCTGCGTGAAACGTGGACGGACTGCGGATAGAGGACGGGAGACGAACATGAAGTACAGGAAACTTTATTACAAATCATATGAGGACTTCAGCCTCGCTCATGCTCCCTGAAGTGCGTCTAACCTCCGACTACAAATCTGTGGAGTCAGCGATCTGCAGCGACTTACTTTGTGTTTGTTTCTGCGTCCACAGGCAGCGCCATGTTGTGCTGCAACAACACCTGGCAGCGTGCCTCTAATGAAGCTGACTGTGTGAATGAAAATGTTTGAATCACTTCCTCCACCCGCGTCGACACACGAGACTTACTCACATGACCATGAGCCTTCACACACACACACACACACACACACACACAGCGATGTAACGACCTTCTAAATATCTATTCAGGGACGCATGTGGTAAAACATCCATGCAGACCCGGTTTAGGGTACAAAAGGTTGAACTGCACCCTCATTTTAAGTTTCTGCACCCTCAATTGACTGGATGCAAACATATTAAGATACTTTTTTAACAATAAGTAATCAAGGCTTTCAAATGACAACGATGACTCAGATCTTGTTTATTACATCCATGATCTGATGGTCCTGACAGCTGCATGTGACTTGTCTGTTCAGCAGGGACCACATGAGGGAACCAAAACACCTAATGCTACTTTTCATAGCTGCTGTCAGAAGCCCAGGAGGACTTTTCCCCCGGCAGCAGAAGCTCTCGAGCAGACGGAGCTCCCCAACCTTCAGCGAACTGATCCGGCTCTACCACCACCCGACGTCCCTGACGTCCAGCCTCCACCATCGGACCGTGTCGTCCCCTAAACCACCTCCGTCCTCCTTCATACACTACCTGCTCCGACCTCCACCTCAGCGGGGAGGAAGTGTGGACAACAGGAAGGAGAGGAATACAAA